ACTGGCTGGTTGGCTAAATTAACTGCTTGTCTTGGCCACATAAATACAAACCCTTACATAATTGAAAATACAAAAATATAGATGGGCTCATTTCAGAACAATAATGGTTGGTTAGATGTATGTCTTAATGATTTATCTAAGTAAATGTAGTTAATTTTTTAAAATTTTTAATCTAGTTAAGGTGCTGAAGTATTGATGATTGAATTATTTATGTCTCCTTATTGGGTTTCAGTCCTTTCAAGCCATTCCTGTTCATCTGTGCCTACATATTATTTGGAATGGGAGTTCCTATCTCTCCTTTCTCTTCCTTCTGCTTTCTAACAGGGCTTTAATATGCTTTTACCTCTTTGAAGGCCTTCTTACCTCTTCGCGTGACCAGCAATGGACAGGTCAACACTAACTGTAGCAATGGCAACTGAAGAAGAGCAAACACCTTTGTGTTTTTTCCATGGTTCCTAGTTTCTGGTTCATCCCTGTCTCCCCAAGGCAGTTCATAGAAACAAGAATTTCTCTTCCCTGAATGGATCATAGAAACTCTAATCTTGCCCCACTCTTCTGTGTTGGAGCTGGCCACACAGGGTCAGCAATCAGGCCCTTTAGGTCTGACGATAAGTCACAGACCCTCAGTCCGGAGGGTTCTCACTCCATACCCTATAAAAAGAACCATGGAGGGAGAGGGCGAGAAGGCTGAAGCAGCCACACCTTGTTGGGTTTCCTGATACCATTTTGATCCAGCTATATTTCCCCATGGTTGCCGTGCTTCTGAGAAAATCTCTGAAATGTCACAAAAATGAAATAACAAAATTCTTTAGCCTGGGGGAAACATGAGGCATGAGACTGCAGTCACTTGGGTTATTCAGACCTAGCAAGGCAGGAGCTACCGAATCTCTGACACTACAAAAAAATTTTAAAAAATATGTGTGTGTGTGTGTGTGTGTGTGTGTGTGTGTGTGTAAAATCCCTCATAAAAGCCTGTCCTTCCTACCACAGTTCTTACCCGGATAGAATGACAAAACTGACCATCTACCCATCATCCTCTTGTGCTAATCTTGTCAGCCTATCCCACTGGAGCAACCAGTTTGCGAGATCTTTCTTCTTCTTTAATATATAAAATCCCAAACGCTTCTGATTTTATTTTGGCAATATTTATTCAGACTACACTCGAATTTGTGTTTTTTCCTATGATGGATGACCATCCTCGTCTCAGCTCAAATAAACTTTGGTCTCCCACGTGGTGTACCTCAACGTGCCTTTTAAATGAATACTCTTGGTCCACTCATAGTCACCATAGGAATCCAAAAGCAGAGGGTACAGAGAGCTTCCAACAGCTGAACATATGAGGTTCCTGGAGAGTGGCAACCCTTTTCCCTGGTGCTTCTACCTAAGGCAATTCAGCTGTATCCTTTGTAATATCCTTTATAATAAACTGGCAATAGTAAGGAAGAGTTTGCCTGATTTCTGACAATCACACCAACAAATTCATCAGCTCCAAAAAGAGGATAGTGGGTGCTCTGACTTACAGCTAGTCGTCAAAAGCACAGGGCTCACAACTGATATCTGCAATGGGCCAGGCAAGGGAGGTGAGGAATTATCTGGGGACTGAGCCCTGTGAATCTGACAGAGATAGTGTCAGAACTGAATAAAATCAGAAGACTCCTGGCTGCTGAACTGACTACTTACATTCTAGTGAAGATCAATCCTCTCACATCAAGGGTCAGGAATATGTATGGATTGTGGTGTTGTGAGATGGTGTCACCAACCCCATGTTCCCACACACTCAGTTTCCCCCAACTCCTGAGGTTCCTCTTGGTCTCCCATAATCCTTACACCCCTGCCACACGACTCTATCCTCTGCACGGGGCCCCTCTCCTCCTTGTCTCTGAGCCTCTGCTCTACTCTAGTTTTCTTGCACAATGTCTGCAAGAGACAAATCCAGGGTTTCTTCTGATATATGTAAAAGAGAGGAAAATAAAATTGACTTTTTTTCCTCTCACACTGCATGCAACATTCAACCCAAAGCATTCCTGAGAGCATATATGCACATTTTCCCACCACACACCAAGGATTTCCCAGTAGACACCAGCTAGGGATCATAATGCAATTAACTCTGAAACCACCTACAGTCAGAATCTCAAAACCTACAGGTTAAAGACTCATTCCCATAAGTTCATCTTTATTTCAGGTACCATTCATTAAGGTGTAGTTTGTTGTTTCAATCTGAGCAAAGAAATGCAAACCAGGATCCCCATTAATTTACTAGGTAGGCTCACAGAAAGTAGGAAAACACTCTTTCTAGTTTATTAAATTAATAAAGGATGCAGATGAATAGCCAGATGCACAGGGCAAAGAAGGTGAAAAGGGATGCGCCACTCTCTGGCTTCACTACTCTACAGGCTCTTTCATTACTCAGCATTCCGGAAGCTCTCAGAGCCCTGGCCACTACAGTGTTAGGAGGCTTCACTGTGCACGCAGGATTGATACTGTCGTTAGTCATCAACTCAATCTTCCACTCCTTTTTTTCTGCAGAGGTTGGAGGGTGTGACTGAAAGCTCCAACCCTCTAATCACATGGACATCACCCCAACAGCCAACCTTTATGTGAGTCTATCCTGGAGCCCACCAGGAGTCACGACATTAGAACAAAAGAATTTCCTTCTATTAACCAAGAAATTCCAAGAGCTTTTGCAGATCTATGGGAGACATTCCTACTGCTCAGAAAAGGAGAAGTTACAGGAGTTCTGGGTCAGGAATCACAGCTACTAGAGCACTACTTCCTGTGTGCGGACAAGAACCTCGATTTATTTATCTTTGCATCAGTAGCATTAAACAAGGGTCCTGTATTTGCTATCTAATTGCTGAGTAACAAAACAGGCTGGAGAATATCCATGAATGCCTAATCCGGTCCTTGTTTGTTAACTAACAAACCTTAAAAGTCTTGAGGGGTGAGAGGAGTCCTGAGAATACACAATTGTGCCCAGAGAAAGGGAAGAAAGAGACTCAGCTGAAGAGAGCAAAAAAAATTTTTTTTTGCCAAGTTTTTGCTTCAATTTTAATATGAGCCACTCATTCAATTATCAACACTAAATAGCAAAGACTCTATGTCAGTATACAAAATAATTTGTTAAATTTTCAGCTCTTAAAGCTTATTTTTACAATACATGCACATTCATTTTTCCAAGGGCAACATTAAGAATTATTTACACATAACACATTATGAATAAAAATAAGTGTTTACCTTATAAGAATAGCTGATATACAAAAATAACCTGAGAATAAATTCTTCATTTTATGCAATGTGCTATTTTAAGAAAGGAAGTGAAAAATCAATGTTAGCAATATAAAAAATACATTAAGAATAACATTCCTCTTTTCCAAAAATTAATGCCTATTTGAATATATTACATGATAATGCAGGGCAGTATTTTAACAAATTCAAAGCACATCAGAATGAAATGTTGAGTGAGTAACGTGATAGCAATAAAAACAATGACAGCATTTACCCAAACTACAATTGATTGTGCTCCAATAAAACACTATTTCTAGTAAAGCATTTGTCACTACAGCTAACTATATAAATACCTATTTTCCTTCTAGTAGATTACGAAATAGTAGGGAACCAAAAGTGACAGTCACCCTTCTATATAAAGAACTTGGAGCTGGTAAGAGTAGTTAAAATGTCTGTTGAATTAAATTACCAGAAAAATATTTTAATTATGGAAATCAAAAGACTGACTTAAGGCAATTTTATTGATTTAAAAGAAAAATAACTTGCTGTTCAGGCCAAGTCCAGGCTCCATTTGATGTGATTTACCTAATACAGCCAGGCGCAATGACACAGAGGAAGTAGGCCAGGGAAAATTTTAGCTGCTTATCTCTAACTCCCACTGGTTAGCTAAAAATTTGTTTAAAGACAAATTCGCTAGCCACATGTGTTGGCCTATACCGGCAATCCCAGCTACTTGGGAGGCTGAGGCAATAGGATCCCTTCAGCCCAAGAGTTTAAGACCAGGAAATTTAGCCACTTGTAGCAAGACACCTACACCAAGTCAAAAAAAAAAAAAAAACCATGATTTAAAAATGAAATTCTACTCAGCCATAAAAAATGATAAACTAGAGAAATTTTAGCTAAATGGATGCATACCAAGGCCATTTGCTTAGGTGAAGTAAGTAGAACACACATTTATAAATACCAAATTGTCTCTCTGGTATGAGACACTGAAAGTGTAAATGAGGAGCAAAATGTATAATAGCAAATGTGAAATAGGAAGAAAAGACTCAAAGGGGAAGGGGAAGTTCGGGGGAAATATGAGAAAAGAAGGGAAAAAATGGAAAAAAAGCTTTTGTAAATAGGGAGAGGTAGGGCATGGAGGGGAGGGAAGGGGAATGAGGAAAAAAAAAGAACTAAGATAAATCATGTACAGGTACAAATCCCCAATACGGAATGTGATCATAATGTATACCTAAAATGTACCAATAAAGTTAGTTTAAAAAATAAATACAGTACTAAAAGGTAAAAGGCACTGAAAGATTAAATTGAGATACAAGAAACTGTTACAACATATCCCCATCCCTTATGGCTGAGCTCCATGGAAAATCTTATATTTGATAGATTAAGTAGAAGGTAAAAATAAATAAATATTTACTAATAGTAATCCTAGATGAGAACAATGTTAATCAGCGTCCTGCTACTATAACAAAATATATGAGATAATTAATTTATAAAGAGAAAAATTTATTTTAGCTCCTGAGACTGGAGTTTCTAATCCATCAGTCAGCTGTTGGCTCAGTTGCTGTAGCCATGTGGTGAAGCAGCACTCTGTGGCAGGGAACATGTGGCAGAGGAAAACCACTGATCTCACTCCCAGGAAGCAAAAGAGAGGAGGACAAGGGGCTGAGGGCTGAGGTTCCACTGTTCCTTTTATTTTTTATTTCTTTTTTCCTCATTGAGTTTATTGGTACATTTTAGGTAAACAGTACAGTTATATTCATCATTGGGATCTTGAACTCTTACATGACAGGTCTTGGTTCTTATTTTTCCTTTACCCCTGTCCTCCCTTCACCCCTACTACTTTCACTGTCCCTTTTAGAGCATCCCAATTACTTAAGAAGCCCCCACAAGCCCCACATCGCCCAGGCTCCCTTTCTGCCGAATGTCAGCAGCTGGAGGCCAAATCTTTAACACAGAGACTTTGGCAGCCATTCCAGATCTGAACTATTGCAAGAGCTCATAAGGTGATCATGATTTTTCATTTACACACGAACACAGCAAGTACCGGGTGTCACTATACATCGTTTCTACTACTTTGGCAAGGAGGAAATGTAACACACTTTATTTTCTCCATTTTTTTCACTTATCTTCACAATTTTACCCATAGTATTTAGCATTTGAATTATTTTAACATTTTCTACTAGATTTTAGCATGTTATAAAACCACTATGAATTATCATTCAATGTAATTTCCTCTTTTGCTCATCTCCCTTCCTCCTTCCAGTCTTTGAGCTCTTCTAAATTCCATAAATATCTACTTCATCATTCTCCTTTGGTTCTACAATATAGCCTTTATGGATTGCTATCAGAATTGCCAATCTATGTCCAATTAATGGAAAATGCCATGGCTGGAAACAAGTTTTTGTACATTAGTTGGGAGAGTCTTAAAACTCATGGTAATTTCTTGAAGTAATCTGAAAAAATTTGAAATTTTAGGATGCAAAAAATTAAGAACGTGACATATAGGTCAGGGATTCAGTGTCTGATCTTAAGTCCATCTTGAATTCATTTTAGAATCTGAGCAGATCTCTTTGAGCCTTAGAGAAGTTTTATCAAGAGATGAGTAATGTCTTCCTATCCATATGCCATAGGGATATCTGAGCTTCAATAATTGAATTGCGTGGTGGAATTAGGAATAAGTGTTTAAGTTTGCAGACTTTTGTAGTGCGTGAAGCAATTCAGTCTGTTGGGGGTGCATTTAAAATGTATAAGGAACTGTATCTCCAAAGTCCAGAGGGAGCCCTTTCATGATGCAATCACAGAGACAGCAGAAGCAAGTGTCCACCCAAAAAGAGGCATAGGACTGTATCTTTAGAAAATAAAAAGAGAGTTAAATAATGAGAGGTATCATATGGCACTGAAAACATCTGCTCATTCATTCTTTAAACTTTTATTTTTTAACTCGGGATCAAACTGAGGACCTGATAAATGTTAGGCAAATGCTCTACAAAGAATCTATACCCCAACTCCCCAAGTTTATAAACATTTATCAAGTACCTCCTATAGGCCAGACATGTAAACACATAGAAAGAAAAAGTTGCTATGTCGTGTTTCCTTCCCCCAGAGAATACAACAAGCATCTCTGATGGGGAATGAGCTCATCTGAGTGAGGGTAAGGGCAGGAGAAAATAGTTGGAGCAAGCAGAATTTTTTTAAGTTTCTAAAAAATTATTGAAGCGCTCCTCTCTCTACATTAAACTCCATTCTGAGTGGTTTGAATGCATGGGCTCATTCGGTCCTCACCATCGTAGGCTCTGAGAGACACTGCTGTAACCCCTTCCTGTAGGTGAGGAAGTGGAACGGTCATATCCCAGTGCTAGTAAACAGGAAGTTAGTGTCTAAACCAAGGTAGTTGGGCTAACAATGCTGTGATAATGGCAAAGGACACCACTTTCCAAGGGGCAGAACTGACAAAGGATTCAAGGTTAAAATGCAGAAGCTACTCTTACAATCCAGCAAGAAGCAGACATCCTAAATCAGAGGACAGGACAGGCAAATTGTATAACATAAATTTCTTATAAGTTTAACCTAGAATAGGAGAAGAGTACTTGATGAGAAGTTCATATCAGGCACTGTTGAATGACACTGAGACCACTCAGCTTCTCCAGGTAGGTCAGCTTATTCTCAGGATTCATCCCCGAGAAACGCATTTAAAGATGTTCATCAGAGCTGTGGAAGCAAAAGCAAAGAGTGACAGCAACCTAAATGGACATCAAAGGAAGATCGTATAAAGAAGCCATCTGCCCATGGAGGGATATAGAACTCAGAAAGAAATTAAATAGTTCTGCTTATATATGTGAAAGAAACCTCAGGAACATAATGATGAATAAAAATGTAAGAAGAACAGAATGTATGGTATAATACAATGAATGTAATATATTTTAGACCACACATAAAATAACTGTCTGTAGATAAACACATATGCAAATAAACTAGTGGCAGTGAGTTGAACGAATGTGTTAAATGCAGAGTGTTCCCATATTTATGAAAATCCTGCTTCATGAGCTGTTGTTTTTAAATATGACTAAGTAACAATAATGGTAGGTACTACTTTTTATTTCCCAGAATTTCCAAGAATTCTAAAAGTATAAGCTCACAATAATGAGTTTGATTGCCACACTAATTTCATCCTAATTTTTCATATGTGAAAATCTGAGTCATAGCAGGTTAAGTGTTTTCTCCTTGGAAACATGAATTGGAAATGATGAACATGGGACTTGAATCTAGGGATCTAGCTTCCATAATCAATAGTCTTGGTTATTATACTCTAATTATTATATTCTTAACACACATATACATTAAGACTTGTAGCCAGTGATATGTTAAGAGCCAAATAAAATGCTCAGAAGTGAAAATAATCTATAAAATGTTTTGTACCATAATCTATGAAATGTTTTGAAGCTGGATGACTATGTCAGAGGCCCAAGTCTACCTTGTATTTCTTTAGATATTTGAAAGATCATCACAACGAAGATGATAAACAGCTCTTCTGAACCTTAGGACCTCAGAGGTTAAGTTGAATTCAGCACTATTGAAGTGAGGGGTTTGAGTCAAACATAAAAGGATGATAAAGGTAGATCAGACATTTCAGTTTCTGTTATCTGCCACTAACTGTGTTTCTTTCACGTGTTCTCACACCTGCATCAACCCTGCAGTAGGACTGACTAGCCTCACAAAATGGAGACCTGGAGATGCTAAATGTTTTCCCTTCTCACCAGCACACCATGTGGAGCTGTGTCAGGAACTCTGCTAACTCCGAGGCCAGTGGCTGTGCCTTTGCAGGGTCTCCCAGCCAGGTCAGATGGTCCTCCAGCTCTGTGATCTCTTTATCCCAGCATTTCTAACTGTGGACAGAAATGTACTTATGATTTTAATCCATCCATTTGGAGAATTATCATGAGTAGCAGAGGCATTGAGATTCATCATCAAATACATAGAAAACCTGTAATTCTTACTTTTATTTTTTTCAACTAAAACATCAAGTCTCTTGGACATGGGGTATTTTTATGTGCTCATGTGAGGTTGAGAGATTTTTCAAACACATATGAAGTTCTACATTCTTTTGACAAGATATGAAATGTGCTTTACAATGACTGGCTGGTCATTCACTCTCCTTTCTATTTTCCCAGTAGTCTAAACGTGTGGGTTTTTAAACACAGTGACACACACACCAACACTTCATCTCCTACTCCTGAGCTTCCCCATTTCTGCTAGAATTTGTCCTCCGAATCTGAACAAATGCAGATGCTCTTTCTCTATTTCTCCAGCACTAAACTGCCTTGCCATACGCAGCAAATATTTTTTATGGTACCTGAGGGAAAGAAGAGAAGGAGATAGATGGCCATGGCGTCTTCTCCATATTTGTCAAGACCCACCAGAGTTTTTGCCAGCTGTGAGGTTGCAGCACAGCATGGTTAATACAGAAAGAAGCAACTCAGAAATTAGGCAAATCTGAATGTGAATCTCAGCTCCACTAGTTCACAAATTGGCTCTGAGCAGGTAATTCTCTAACCTTTGTTTTCACAGCTTTGAAATGGAATTAATATTGCCTACCTTTTGGGGCAATTTTGAGCATTCTCAAAAATACATGTAAAACATTTAATACAGTGGCTGGAATAAAACAAAAAAATTCTCAGTGAAGGGTCATAATGATGATGTCAAAATAAAGTTTTTAAACTAGAAATTGCCTTTGGGTCATACTGCTTGGACCTGGACATTGTATATGAAAGTAAATCTGAGCCAGGGGAGCAGGATGACTTGTCCAATGCTACATAGTCAGCTCACAACTCAGCAGACTTGGGATTTAAACTCCGATTCTGTCCTGTAATCCCACCTGAGCCTTGAATGTCTCTCCACAGAATTCTAGATTTTTCAATAGGTTTTGTTTTCTGATTTGTAAAACTTCACTCACATAGCTATTTCATTCAAACAATGGTGGATATTTTTTTCTAGTAGGCCCCATAACATCTGAGACCTGTTTGGAATTGGCCATTTACTCTGAGAACTCAGAGCTTTCTCTTTCTTGCTCAATTTCTGTCATATGTGGACATGTATATGGTATTAGGAGGTTTAAAAAGAAGCTATTGGGGGTTATTTTTAGCTCACCATGTCTTCACAACCTTGAAGTCTTCATGCTTTACTACTTACTTTATCAGAAGAGGGGTGATATTGAAAGAAATTTCCTTTGAGTATAGAAGAAGCTGAAAAGTTGTTGCAAGAAATCACAGCAGTCGTAAGACTGTTGCTGAGCGTGGGTTTATTAGCAAGCAAAATAAACAGCATGCTGCATGCTGACTTCATCTTCAATAAGCACTCATATTGGAAATGCTTACCTTGTTGACAGCCAAGAGGTTATCCTTTGGAGGGCGGGAGGGAGAGAGAGAAAGAGAAAAATGAAAGAAGAAATCACTAAGCCAAGAAACTTCAAGTGTTCTATGGCTTGGGGAAAGCAGTGTTGTGTAAAATCTTTTGATATGCCACCCTAAGCAGTTTGGCCTTCAAACAGTGTGAGTCACCTTGGGGCAGGACATGCTGGTGAGAAAAGCATCTAGAGAGGGCAATGAGGTAACTTTCACTCTGCCACACAGAGAACGGTAGATGAACATTGGCGAGGCATCTCTGCCACTGCCATTATGGAATGGGAGTCCACTTGGTCTAACATGTTAAGAGGATTGGTGCTAAAGCTGCATGAACTTTGAAACAGCTCAATGAAGCTTATGCACTTTCTAGTTTAAATTAGTCTTCAGCAAGACCTCTCTGATCATCAGGAATTTGGCCGCTTGAGTATTCTGTCGCACTCTCTGAAGCAACGCTGAGCTCCCTGGGTGTCAACACTGCAGGATTCTTTATATTTGAGGTAGAAATGGAAAGAGTGCTGAAAGGCAAAGAGGTCATACTACTCACTAAAATAAAAAGTCATAGATATCCATATATTTGTGTGTGTGTGTGTGTGTGTGCATAGTAGTAGTAGTAGTAGTAGTAGTAGAAGTAGTAGTAGTAGTAATAGTTTTAGGAACTCTTTTAGTGAAGAGCGGTTTCATTATGAATTCCCAAGTGTATGGGGGTGTGTGTGTGTGTGCATAGTAGTAGTAGTAGAAGTAGTAGTAGTAGTAATAGTTTTAGGAACTCTTTTAGTGAAGAGCGGTTTCATTATGAATTCCCAAGTGTATGGGGGTGTGTGTGTGTGTGCATAGTAGTAGTAGTAGAAGTAGTAGTAGTAGTAATAGTTTTAGGAACTCTTTTAGTGAAGAGCGGTTTCATTATGAATTCCCAAGTGTATGGGGGTGTGTGTGTGTGTGCATAGTAGTAGTAGTAGAAGTAGTAGTAGTAGTAATAGTTTTAGGAACTCTTTTAGTGAAGAGCGGTTTCATTATGAATTCCCAAGTGTATGGGTGTGTGTGTGTGTGTGTGTGTGTGTGTGTGTGTGTATGGATATCTATGAACAAAAGTATAAAAGTATAAAACCTGCTGAAAGGGTCAGAACAAAACTCCTTCCCCTGCCCATTTAAACTATGGAAGGTTTCAGTGGATGATGAATGAAACTGTCACTGGCTAGGGACCAAAGAGTTCCCCACAAAGAGGAGATAGGAACCTCAGGTAATCTTAGCCATGGAGTGGTTCGCATTCTTGTTGACTTCTGTCAGAGAAAAAGAATTTCCAGGCTGCATCCGTAGGAGTCATAGAAAGGTTTATTAGGCAGTGTTGAGGAAGTTCACAGCCTGGGCATACACAGTGTGTTCCTCAAAAAACAGGTGTGTTATGGCCTGGGTCTGCAAGTCTTTGTGCTGCCTTACGGCATCCTCCAATAGATGATCTGGGATGTGTGTTCCTACTGTCGTCCAGGATACATTGGTGGGCTAGGTCCCAACCTAAAACATTTGCGTGCATTCAAAGTTAGAGATATGCTATCCACTTAATGGTGCTGCTTCCTTAAGATATAGAAAAATCATAGGCTCAAATTATATGTGAAAAGAAAGAGCCCAATTTATAGGATTAGGGGTTTTTTGAGAGGCATTGTAATCTTGGGTAACTTTGTGTCCTAAAGCTATGGATTTTCTTAAAGTTCAGTTTTAAGTTATTATTTTCCTTGTCTTTTTTCTACCTATCTTTATTTCTTCTGTCCTACCTCAAAACTTCCTTGTATAAAGGCGTTATGCCCTGTGCCATGCGGTGCAGATGGAAAACTAGTTTAGAAAACACTTGGGAATTCACAATGAAACTGCTCTTCACTAAAGGAGTTCCTAAAGCTACTACTTACATTTCAACTTTAGCAAAAATAGAGTTCAACACTAAGGGAAAGAGACACACTTCCCTCTTCCTGCAGGTAGAGGCATCTGCTTGCTTCAGCATTTTGGTGTCCCTGGGAGTACTGGACAATGTAAAGACACAGCTGTAGAACCAATGTAAAGCACATATTCCTTGCAAACATATGTATTCCTCTAAGGCATGCTGCCTCCAGGCACAGATTTCATGTGGCCTTCTCCTGGAGATGCCACTGGTTTTGGAATGAGTTTCCATGAATTATATGGCTCAGGAAACAGCTGCAAGATCATGTTCCTGCACCTCTCCTGGGTCTCCTTTGAAGCGCCTGCTTCTGCTTCAAGGATAACAAATGACAGGAGCCTTTCTTCAGAAGGGGTAAAAATGTGAGGGCTGCTTAAACACTCCAGCACAGCTATGGCATCATAAAACAAACAAACAAAAAACATGTTAGCTGAGAAGCCATCAGGCCAACAAAAGGACTGTTGAGGAATCAGCCTCAGTGAATGTAAACTTTATATGTCATGAACAGAAGCTAAGGTTAATAATATCAACAAGAATGAGCTAAGATTAATAATATCAATAAGAATGAAAATGGGCAAAGGAAATTTAAAAGAGGAAGCACAGAGCCAGGAGGGAAGAGGAAGAGATTTAAAATAGAAACAATCTGTATTGTGTACATGTACCCCTTCCCCAAGATGATTTTAAACGGCAACTACTGCAAACATATACTAATGAAAAAGTAAAAGAGTCAGTAAAATCTGTCAATAAAGCAGAGGGCTCCAGCATGCAAAAGTTATTGTTTTCCACAAAGTGAGAATGATCTTGATTGTTTAAGAATATAAATATGAATAAAACAGAAATAGTTATACAGTAGGACTTGAAAGCTTTGAAGTATTACTACAGAAAAAAAAACAGACACTGTCTATACTTGCTTGCAGCCTTTTGGCACAGCCAGTGAGTTTACGTGTTAACTGTCATGTTCTCCTTCTCCCATTCTGTGTCCACAGTACTAAGTGAATTCATGACAAAAACCAAGAGCTGGTTTGACAAAACAGAAAATCAGTTGCAGAAGCAATGAATTTTTAGTGGAAAATATATTGTATTTTTAACAAACCATGACTTCTCAGCTGAAGGAGACATAATGCAGGATCAGTTTCATGGGGTGAAATGCATATGCTCACCACAGATGTATTTTCATTTATAATTATGTGATGAAAACAACATTGCTGGGACCTCATTCATTTATAATTATGTCATGCAAAGAGAGACAGGAACACCCACAGAGCCATACAATGTGATTATATGCTGAAGCGGTTGTTAATTATCCTTCGGGACATTCCTACAAGGATTTTAAACAAAATCAACAGACAAAATGTTTGCAGCACTGTTCATGGCATACTGGAAAATTTGTGCAAACTCTTCAAAGAATGATAGGGGGAGATGGTTATCCAAGAAATAAAATAATTGTCAACTTATTTAGCACTTAAAAAAATTCATTCTCCACATTTTCCTGGATTTTATTTGGGAATTTGAATCTCAAGAAACAAGGTTGAGTGACAGGAAAATCCTGAGTTTCTGGCCATACCAGTCAATGCTCACTAGAGAAACAGATATAAGTGCGTATATTTAACAAGGTAGACTTACAATGACCACCAACAGTCAGGTGTGGAAGAGTACAAAAGGATGTTTGGATCTGAAGGATCTGTCAAAACTCAAAAGCCTGGAGCTTACTGTAGAGTCCCGTGTGAGTCCATATCAGGAAACCACAAGAGTGATCTGCAATTTGCAAAGGCAAAGACTGGAGCTCCTCTGGGGAAAAAAATTAAAAGGGCTTCCTTCTTCTTTCCCTCTTTATTCCATTCAGGCTTTAAACCTGTTGGTCGGTGCTACTCACACCCATCTCCATTTTCACTAAATCCATTCATTAACACCCAGAATTATGTCAATCACTAGGGCTTTTTTACTCAAACTGACAAGACACTTAAGTATCATACTGGTGTTAAAGTGAAACAAATACCGAGCCAGGCGTGGTGGTGCACGCCTTTAATCCCACCACTCCGCCGAGGCAGGAGGATCTCTGTGAGTTTGAGACCAGCCTGGGCTACATAGTGAGTTCCAGGTCAGTCTCAAGTACATAGTGAGACCCTGTCTCAAACAACAAACAAAAAGCAAAAACAAACAAAAAAAACCCCCAAAAAACAAAAAACAAAATAAAGTGAAATAAATACCAAATCTGTCAGTTATTATCCTCTCTATCCTACGCGACTGAAGCATTAAAAGATCCCAAACATGTCTTTCTTCACTTTTCCCAAGCTGGTGCCCTTGACCCAGATGGAACGTTCTTCCTCAAAATCAGCAGCTAAGAGAGGCTGCCTCAAAGTTAGTGACCCTGAGAAGCTCAATACGCAAAGGGACAGTGGCCAGACCACATAGAAAAATAGAATTTTTACCACAACAGCAGAAATATGTTCTAGAAACTTACCCTTAATCTGTGATAATCAGCCCAGGAAGCCAGTTTACTATATCAGACTAATAGAAAGACTGTCTAGTGAAAAATGCAGGAAGTCAAACAGTAACATTTTTAACAATTAGCCAAAATTGCCAGGACTGTATTAATAATTCACAGCTTCTCTAACTTTTGGCCCCACTGTCACCTGAGGACCAAATACAGAAATCCAAAGGCGCACCACTGATCAATCACGTAGGAAACCCCACTTCTAATTAGCCCACCTACCACTTCCCCAGGCCAGTAGCCCCTACATGGGCACAGCTGAAGCCTCCCTTGTTTCCATTCTAAAGCAGCCCCACTCCTGGGCTTGCCCTTGAGTCTCTGCCAAAGCACAGGTTATCCTGGTTAGTTACCCTGCTGTAACAAACTCTGAATAAGCAACCTTTGCTTGTTCCCATTTGATTGATTTTCATTTCCTTCCACACCCCATTGCTTCTTACTATTTTTTAAGATTCTCTTTGTGATATCCTGATTTGACAGGGCAATAACCATATTCCACTCCTGGGCTTGCCCTTGAGTCTCTGCCAAAGCACAGGTTATCCTGGTTAGTTACCCTGCTGTAACAAACTCTGAATAAGCAACCTTTGCTTGTTCCCATTTGATTGATTTTCATTTCCTTCCACACCCCATTGCTTCTTACTATTTTTTAAGATTCTCTTTGTGATATCCTGATTTGACAGGGCAATAACCATATTATTAAGAGCTATACACTTTGGACAAAGGGGCAAAAATCATATATTTAGATTTCAGATACTGAATCGGCAGGCAGCTAAGAAGACTAATTAGTCTACATATTTAAAACGGGCTAGAGTTGGAATTGCTGAGATTGAAGGGAGGACAGTTAAAAAAAAAAAGCAAAAGAGAGACACTGGTATGAGGATCACTCCTGGACTTGACCTGAAGAGCCCGCGCAGTCAGTTACTTCGATAGAACTATATCATTGTTAAGCAAAAAGTGGGAGACGCACTCCCACAACAGTACGAAAACCCGGGGCTTCTTGTAGACCGGGAGACACGCGTGAACTTCCCAGCGAAGGTTCAATATTGGATGGGCCGAAGTAAATTGGTAGCTGACAAATTATCAGGATAAAAGCAGTAACAAAATGTATTAATGCACATACACAAAGGAGCCATACAAAACATGAACCTGATAAAAAGAGCCAGATAGTTGAAGCTTAAATGGCTCCTTTCCAAAGAAGAGAAAGATAAGGGGTGTAAGCAAATGAAAGGAGACATTTAAAAAATGATTTCAGGGGATCAAAGGTGGCAAAATTTGACTCATAAATGAGTCCTTTTGGAATTTGAGTGGGCCCCAGAGACAATAACTTGTGGTCACATACCATAGTCTTTCCTGTGACAAATGAAATTTCAGGGTGGGGGGACATGGAGGGCAGCTATGTTGTCATTTGCATGGCTAATGTTAGAGCAGATAGAGGTGTATTGGAGTCATGTTTCTTCCAGCATATTCTGATCTCCATGGTCTTTAATTTAAAACAGTCAGGATTCTGGGATATTCACAGAGTCAGAGCCCACCACTGGCACATAGGACAAACAAATCAATGGGTCCTTCCACCTGTTACCCATTAAAAGTATGCTTTGGGCTCATTCTTTTTCTGAGGAGATCAAAGACATAAAAGCAGTTTTTATTATAAACAAACAAGGGAAAATGAAATCTCTTCATTTGGGCCTACAGAAGTTGGTAACTAAGAGCAGAACAAGACTTGGCCTTCTCTTTGCACTGTTTCTTATCTTTAAACTTCAAGTCAAATCCCTTCTCAGGTCTGCACACAAGACATGTTAATCATCTAGGAACTTTTTGTCTAAAGGTTGGCAAAAAAAAAAAAAAAA